AGGCATCTAAAGAGAACATATGTTTATTAGGAAATTAAATATGTAATTTTTACCATCTACTGCCATTTTTAAGGGCCAACTATCATTTCCCCAACATTTGAGGGCTTCACTTCCAGAATGTTCTAGGTTACATTCCCTAGCATCTCCCCTAAAACGACAGCAGCTGCCAGGGAACTGCCTCTTGTCTCCACTGGACTGCATTACATTTTTATCCTGTTGCTCTTCCAAAGATTGTCAGGGTGACATTCTTAATTTGCTTCCCCTATTTTATCCTCGCCAACACACTTATGGGGCAGGTTGGACTGGAGGGAGATTGACTGAAACATAGTCACATGGCAAGGAAAGATCTGGACCTTGGTCTCTTCAAGCTCTCTAACTGGATCCCCATGCGCAGCAAAAAAACAAACAAACAGGATTCTGCAAGCAGGGGATTCCCTCAAGGAAATCCAACCATTCTATGCATTCTCAGCATCTCAAACAGGCTGATTTTCCGTTCCATCCCTTTCTCCTTTTAACAGACCTTCAACTGCACTCAGCATTCCATGGTCCTACAGCACATTCTGTCCTCTCTAGGCTGCTTACTGGGGAGGGAGTTCCTTTGGTTAAGTCTCCCAAGTATACAGAAGCCCCTTCTTTGTGGGTGGTCCAGTTTTGTTACTTCCTATTAGATATCAGTGACAGTCTAGGGAACTTGGGGGGGGGGGAGAGACTAAATCGCGACCACCCCAGCTGGCAGGCGCTTGACCAAGCTCCTCCCCTCCATATTAGAATAAAACACATACAAAAAATATAAAAACAGACTAATTACTTAATTGGCCCTTAATCAAAGGCCAAACACGTTCCAAACACCCACCCTTTTTTGTTCTTAGTTATAATTTACAAAATCTTATTTTTCTACATTGGAGCTCCATGCCTCCATGACTTCTCCCATGCCTGTAGGTGACCCCACTGTGCATACCGACATACATTCTTTATTTACGATCCAGAGATCAAAAAACATTATAACAACAGCGTCTGAGTCCAGTACACACGGCATACAGGCATAAACATGAAAGAAAATTAAAATTTAAAATATACCCTCTATACAGGCTATGTGTTAAAGGTTCGATCATCAGCTTCCTTGCAGATAAAACCATAACACAAAACTTGGCCACTTTAATGGAGGTCTCGTTTGAACGCTCTGCAAGGAGGCGGGATGTGTAAAACGTATCCACTCTACCTGGGAACTTAAATAGGGGTGAGGAGTATGGAGTGTGTGCCGCGTAGAATTTACAGTGTAATTACACATGCTCGACCGTTTCGACTGTGCCAGACTGGCAGGGACAAAGGCTCTGGGAGCATATGGAATGTGAAGGTGTCTCTCTTCCGGAAGTGCTGAAGGCACATGGTTAAGCTGAGCCAGAGTGAAGGCTCTGCCGCGTTTGAGAAATTCTGTGGTGCAGAGAGGTCTGGTACAGAGTTTTGAGTGCGATTCCCCACGGCCAGACAGAGGTGTGCCCAAACTCTTATCAGCTTGGAGAGATGTATCCCAAATTTGTTGCTTTATTATTTCTTTGGCTCCCAAGGGCCCAAGGTGGGAAATTGCTGAGGGGGGAAAATGTATTGTTCTAATTTGTTCTTTTTGGTGTCCATCCAGACTGAGCGGTAGGTGACCCCACTGCGTAGCTTTCATCATCCACACAGGAGCCAGCCAGGGTAGCAGATCCCACCCCCACCCCCCGGACACTAATATTATTGACAACGGAAAATGCCCATTTTTAAAATATTATTTACTAGCTTTCAACTTCCCTCTAGATAACAACATGCACGTGCCCCAAAATACTGTGTGATCCTTTCCCTTCCCATCATGCTTTTAGCTCTTTAGCAGTAAACTGGATATTGTGGGTATACTTTAAATGGGTTTATAAAGGGGAAGCCAACAGGGGTATATTTGAAAAGTTGGAAAGAATGTGCTCATGGTTGAAATGATGGTGGCCACCTTAGGGGGGAGGGAAAAAACAGAGGGGTAAAAGTATCAAAAAGTTGGAACTAAACTGTAATGTAATAACAATATTGGGATACAATAAAAACATTTGAAAAAAAAACAAACTGGATATTGTGCAGGTAAACACTGTGACCCCATTCTAACTTGTACCATGTCAGAATCTTTTAGCGCTGCCATAGTACCTGCATGTCTGTATGGAATCGTTATTCTGAGACTGATTTTTCCAAGAAGTGACTGAAGGGAAGGAATGGATAGAACTACATACTATCCAGGATGGTTAATTGCTAAAATTGCTAATTGTGGCCTTTATGCCCTCTTTATAAGCCCCTTCAGATACTACTGAACGTGAAACAGGACTAGATGCCCCACTGGTCCAGTACATTTCTAATGATGTTCTACTGGCTCTCCATAGGAACTTAGAGCCTGGGTAGGCGGTGCAGTCCCTTGGACTGCAAGGAGATCAAATCAGTCAAAAGAAATCAATCCTGACTGTTCCCTGGAAGGACAGATACTGAAGCTGAAGCTCAAATACTTTGGCCACCAAATGAGAAGGGAGCACTCACTGGAGAAGACCCTGATGCTGGGAAAGATTGAAGGTCAAAGAAGAAGGGGATGGCAAAGGATGAGATGGTTAGACAGTGTTATGGAGGCAATGAACAAGAAATTAAGCAAACTCCAGAGGACGGCGGAGGACAGGAGGGCCTGACGTGATGTGGTCCATGGGGTCGCAAAGAGTCAAACTCGACTGTGTGACTGAACAACAAGACGTTGTTTATAATACTGATAGAACAAGGTGATATTTATGGGCTTTCTGGACTTGAATTCTTCTCTAGCCTTTAAATTTTAGATGGGCAGATGGATATTTGAGGGTGGTGGAAGCACCAGTAGTCACATCCAGCAAAGCTAGGCGAGAATATAAAAGCTCATGCTGCAGAAAAAAATAATACCTTTCTCATCAAGAACAGTCTGCCAGCATTTGGGAAAGTGACCCTAATAAGACAGTTACAGTAAACAGCACCTTCAAGCTCATAGTACAGTTTTGATGTGGTTATCAGTGCTCATGGAATTTCTTGCTTGTACATCAAACAGAAAGCCTTAGTATCTTCAGGCTATCAAAACCATGCTGAAGCGTCATACGACAATCAACACTACCTGCTAGAACTGTGAAACAAAAGCTGTACGTACTCAGAAATTCTTGTGCATGAAGCAACGCTGGGCAAAGCTACAACAAATTTTGTCTTCACACATTTCAAGCCCTTGCTGCTCGACAGTTTTTTTATCCTTTTGCATTACCTACTGAATTTATTTATTTGCTTCCATATTTATGGCCCGCTTTTCGTTTCACAGGGGACCTCAAGTTGTTTACAATATTGTTCTCATCTCCTCCATTTTATCCCTATCACAACCCTGTGAGGGAGCTTTAGCTGAGAGTCTATGACTGGCCCAAGGTCACCCAGCAGGCTTCCATGGCACTGTTGGGATTCAAACCTGGGTCTTCCACATCCTAGATGTTCAATCTTAACACTACATCAACCTGGCTGCACCATGCACTCAGGTCCATAGCCAGGATTTTTTAAAAAATTCAGGGGGGCCTTTAAATAAGTCAGGGGGCACCCCACACACACTCCTGCGCCCCTCCCCCCAAGGAGCACCTGGGCTGGATGGGAAGTCGAGGGGGACTTGGTGGTAAGTCAGGGGGCCAGGCCCCGAGACGCCCCACTGTAGTTACGGGCCTGCATGCACTGCAACACTTTAGTCAACAGCACTTAATAGATTCTAACTCTGGAGAGTGGATGGAGACCAGGAGCCCTAGGAATTTTTAACATACAAGCTGGCACAGATTGAAGCTGGTGAGCCACCCAAATTATTTTATTTTGGGTGGCTCACAGAATTTCTATTTCAGGACACTTCTGCGTAAAACAACAGGAAGCTTACAGGCATTCTGGTGCCAAGCCTCAGAGAGAGAGCCTGGTAATTCAGTTTGCACTAAAAGGATCCTGATTAAGGACTATCCACTCCTGGCTGCACAGACATCTTTGATATTTGTCCCGAGGAAAGGACGAAGGGCACGTTTGCAAAATCAATTGTGCACTTTTTATATTTACTGCACTTTTACCACATATGTCATTTATTACACAGTGGAAAACCGTTAAATGCACAGTAGTTGTGCCAAGTGGCATTATGCTTTTAACAGCTTTATTCGTTTAACAGCTCCAGCTCTCATTATATTTTGCCATGTGGTACATGAGATTTTTATTCCTTTAACAGTGTAAGAGGGGCTCCGTGGCATTTTTCCTTTTATGCCTTTCATACTGTGCCTGGGGTTTTGCCCCCTTTTTTTTGTGAACATTAACCCAGAGGCTCTGTTGAAAACAAGCGGTGCACCTAAAGATGCAGTGAAAGAAAATGAGGAGGAGAAAGATTTGGGTCCCTCTTTCTGTACTGTCGTACAAGTCCACAGCAACATAGTGGTAAGACTGTTCATGATTCTGCAAATTCTTGCAGAAGCTCTCTTCCTTTCCATTATAAGCATTTTGGAATGCTCCTGTTTCATCTCTTTACTCAAAGGGACACAGGTTCAAACGCTAAGAACCATATCACTGACTCAATGCCTCCTTCTGAGGTTTCCTACAGTCTCTTGCAGGGCTACAGGGGAGCCAAACCATTGCGACTGTTAAATATGACTATTTTGGAAGGTCCTCGCTTTACTGAGCAAGGTGGTGGTGGGGGATTCAGATATGTTATATGTTTCTGTTTCGTTTAAACTCTCTTTCAGAAGAGGACGATCGGATAATGTCTTTGCTAGCCGTTCCATTTAAAAACGCAGAAAAAGAAACCATCGGGAGCTACAAAGACATGATGGATTCTCCAGAGATGATTATTATTGTCCTTTTTATAACTGTGGAAACAGCTGTATTTTTTATTAGCGGGGGAAGGGACGGGTCTGATTTCAACCTCAAATGCTTTCTCTTTTCCTGAAGGAGGAGGAGGAGGAAAAAAAGAGCCCCCAACTCACCTGACTTTTGTTGGCCGCCACTTTGGCAAACAGAGCCTGAGACACCTTGGCCCTTTTCATCTCCTGCTGGATCTCGTCATAAATGGCAGCTGTGATGTTGATGTTGGCTCCTTCCACCTTAATGGGGAGGTCTGTTGTCGGTGTCGAGGTTTTGGCCTACCGAGAGACCATGAAAATAATAATTAAAAAAAGTGCTGCTTTTCAGCCCGGCCATCTGTGCAGAAATTATCAAAGGATTTCAGTCAGCTGATGCCAAACTGCATTAGCTACAGAGGGACACTTCCTGTCCATTATTCTAATCAGGTTAATTGTGATTGGAAATAATTGCAGTGCATTCCTATAGGACGCACACAGCTCCCCCACACCCCCAGCCCGGCCTCACAGATACACCTCTTCCTCCCTCCCTCTTTCACTAACACATAACAGAAACATATATGCCGAAAAACGGAATGGCTACCCAAGCAGAGGCGTCATGATTCAAACAATTACCTGATTCAACTAGCTACAGCAGATACAATATATACATGAGTGTTTGAATTTTTGCTCCCCCCCCCAAAAAAAAAAACCCTCGGTATACCTTAGAGGAAGAGCCTATTCTCCCAGAAAAAATGAGTAAATGCATAGAGGTCTCTAAATAATAAATTATTACTCAATTTAATGCACTCCCTCACGACCGTCTCATCCTTTATTAAAGCTGTACGTATGTATGGCTTCCCATCATTATGCTGGCCAGAGAGTCACCTAATTTCACCTAGGAAATCAGTGGAAATGAAAAGAAAGTGATAATGCCGGGCTTGTCGGTGCATTTGATGCGCTGCCCTTGGTCTCCGACACTCATATTGCAGTTCTGTGAGTTCCACTGCACTCCTTTTAATTGAATGATTTCCAATCAACTTCTGTGACAAATGAAGGACAATAAACGGAGGATGCTGGCACTTCCTGATACTGAGCCAGCAGAGAGAGAGAGAGAGAGCCGGGGGAAGTTCAGGAATGGGGAGGGGAAAGGTGACTGATACTAGAAGCATCCCTGAGATGCATTCAGACAGGACGCTTCATTTCACCAGTATGGGTCTGAAGTATTAGATTCGTGTCTAGTAGCACCTTAGAGACCAACCAGGTTTTGGAGGTATAATCTTTCAAGAGCCAAAGCTCCCTTTGTCAGATATCTGAGGTCTGATTCTCAAGAGCTTATTTCCCCGAGAATCTTGTTGCTCTCTAAGGTGCTGCTGGACTCGAACCGAAGACTTCTACTGCAGACCAACAAGGCCACCCTCTGAAACCAAGGTCAGAAGTATGTTAGTGAAACCACCAAATAACTGGTATACCTGTCATTTTACTGCTCTATCTAACACCAGTTGTTCACACACAGCAGCAGCCGGGGAAGCCTACAAAGCTGGTACCTCTGTGCTGGTACCATAAAACCAACCTGACTTAGAGGCAGCACTGAATATTTGCAGTCTTTGTATCATCTAAGAGTTGTGTGGGTTCACTGTCTGCAAAGAAAAAGCAGCTTTCACTAAACTATCTTTAAAGCAGGATGACAGAGTTTCTGTTTACCGTGCAATCCTATAGAGAGTTACTCCAGTCTAAGCCCATCAGTTTCAATGCACTTAGGACAATTAAAACAAGGACAAACAGATTAAAAAATAGTTTTTATTCGAGAGCTATTACTGCCTTAAATGCTGTATGAAATTGGAATTTGGGTGACATTAGTGGTTTTAAGTTGCTATGTGAACCTTAGGGGAGTTATGAGATAGTTGTGAATGGTTGTGTGAGTGTATGAATATTGTTGTAGATCACCGAAATGATTGCATCGTAATTTCGTTGTACTATGTACAATGACAATAAAGTATATTACTATTACTATTACTATTACTACTTAGACTGTAGTGACCCTGCACAGGAGTGCCCTGTTAGAAACACAGGTGTGGGAACTGTGGGCTGTTGTAATATGAATGACTTAACAAGTGTCAACCTTCCTTCTCTTTGCTAGCATCAGCCTTGCGGTAATTGCCCGTTCCGAATTTCTCCCCATTTTCATCAAAGAACCAAGAAGATGCAGCAACCATCAATTTAACCTTTCCAAAGTTCACCTTCAATGTATTTGGACTGTCTTTTACGACACCGATTTGGCACTGCTTAACTATTATCAAGGACACACCTCAGAACAGCGGCCCTTCAACTTAACAGTTGCAAGCCGAGGATGGCGACTAAAAGGACAAAAAAGGGTACACAATAGGAAAATGCTAATATTCTGTTTCTCAACACTCTCTCATATTGCCCACCCCATTGCAAATCGTATCACAGATTGGTATCTATGGAAACGACGTTTTGTATGGTATAGAATTAACTTTGGCACCAGAAAACAAATTTGTCTTTCTTTTTTCTTAAATATATGTTCTCCTTTTATTGAAGAAACAGAATAAGGTCTCATAAACAGCTAATAAGTTGGATTCCACCTATACAGGCATGGATATCATTAAGATGCCCTCCTGCCTTAATTACGAATCGGTGGCTCATGGGTGGGGGAGAGCCGTGTGTGCTTGGCCACAAGGACGCAAAGACAGCATCACAGAACTATGGCCACTTCTGCTGCTCTGCTCCTTCCCTTTGCAGGACTTGCGCGGCTTTTTCCTGTCCCTGACCTGTTCTCGCTTTTGTGCAACCCAGAAAAAGAACTTTCGAAATCAGGCTTCTGTCCTTTTCTACTCCTGCTGGTTAACGGTGACCAAAGAGACACTTTGTTGTTGTTGTTCAGTCGCACAGTCAAGTCTGACTCTTCGCGACCCCATGGACCAGATCACGCCAGGCTTTCCTGTCTTCCGCTGTCCTCTGAAGTTGGCTCAATTTCATGTTCGTTGCATCTATGACACTGTCTAACCATCTCCTCCTTTGCCGTCCCGTCTTCTTTGACCTTCAATCATTCCCAGCATCAGGGTCTTCTCCAGGGAGTGCTCCCTTCTCATTTGGTGGCCAAAGTATTTGAGCTTCAGTTTCATTATCTGGCCTTCCAGTGGACAGTCAGGGTTGATTTCTTTTACGACTGACTGATTTGATCTTCTTGCAGTCCAAGGGATTTCTTGCAGTCCAAGAGACACTTACATACAGGGATAAGTATGTAACTATGAAGAAAGGTTAAAGTGCTTGGGGCTCTTTAGCTTGGACAAATGACGGCTGAGGGGTGACATGATCAAGGTTTATAAGATTATGCATGGGATAGAGCAGGTTGAGAAAGGAGTACTTTTCTCCCTTTCTCACAATACAAGAACTCTCCTGGGCACTCAATGAAATTAGTACAGATAAAAGTTCACCCAAAGAGTGATAAACACATGGAATTCACTGCCGCAGGGAGTGGTGGCAGATACAAGCACAGACAGCTTCAAGAGGGAATTGGATAAATATATGGAGCAGAGGTCCATCAGTGGCTATTAGCCACAAGGTATAGATAGGAACTCTCAGTCTGGGGCAAGTGATGCTCTGTATTCTTCTTGCTGGGGTGGGGGGGAACAGTGGGAGGTCTTCTAGTGTCCTGGCCCCACTGCTGGACCTCCTGATGGCACCTGGTATTTTTGGCCACTGTGTGACAGAGTGTTAGACTGGATGGGCCATTGTCCTGATCAAACATTGGATTCTCTTATGTTCTTAATTAATGTGCTAAAAAGCAATTTTCAAATGTTGTCACCTCGGGGACAGGGACGGTAACTGGAGGATAAGAAACACAGTTCAGCTATAATGCCACTCCATCCCATCCCTCCACTGCAATGTGCAGAAGAGGCAGGGTTTGCAGGCAGCCCTGCAGGAGAGGTGTCTCCTCGCTCAACTTTGGGGGCAGGGAGCGAGGGCTTAAGAGGCCCTCCATGCCAGCCCTCTGATGTTGCCCTGCCGCCCATCATGGCAAGCCAACCTCCCAGCAAAGCCACATCTGGTTGCCTGTTTGGGGGCTAAGTAGGAACCTTTTGACCTGTCCAGCTAA